ACTATTGATCTTATGGATTTTACAAATCATGAAAAATTTGATGTTTCTATTTTGGACCATGGGAAAGCATCGTTGAGTGCAAGAGATGACAACGGAAAAGGAAATCGGGAGGAGCACGTTTATTGTGCAAATTCAATTTCAACACCTCCGAGAGATAGTCAAAAGAGTTGGGGTGCTAACGGTGATGAACGTGCAAGGAGGATGTGGCCACCTAAAAAATCAAACGAGCATCATCGGGGAGAGGAATTCAATTGCCAAGTGACTTCGGTCACGTTAGCTTGAACAAAGAAGCAGACAAAGTCCGGCTGAAGACTGTAAACTTAGCGCTTCTCGGGAGGCAACCCGAGATTTTTTCAGCTCTAGCCAGAGACTGAGAATGATTACAAACTTTCAGAACACACAGGACATCCAAGACTATTTTAGCGATCGAATCCCCGACTACAATGCACAGACATTCCACTAGATTTTGGACTGCACGAACACTGGCCCTTGGGATGGTCCTCGGTGGAACTCAGGGACAGGTCACGATACAGCTGGTCCTCTAGTGAAGTCACGGTGATGTCTAGGTCATAAAGACTAATGGTGTACAACTATACCATAGATATCTCTACTCGATTATTGGGAACCACTTAGAGATTTCTAGGGTGAGGGAGTTCAGTGAACTCGTCAACTTACGAGCACCCACTTATGGATGCCGATATCATAATACCGTTTACTGATGAGATGCAGTACACATACCCTAAGTGCTAGTCTCTTAATGGGAAAGGCCAATATCCTCATTGGTGGCGTAACCCTTCGACTAGGAACACATTTAACAGTTATAATACTAAAGCAAATATCTCACGATCCTAATGATCATTTACTCATACTTGTAATAACTGTAAGGACTATATCTTTGCTTGTGACAAAGGGACAAAGATATAGAATGCCAAGTTGTTTTATCATTAATACGAATGAAGGTTCGTTTATTACAATAATAAATACGTAAGACCACAACCACATGTTGGCTTGTTGGTCACCTACTCTAACACTTCCTCCAATTGTCTCCCATTCCTTAAACTTACGGCATTGCACTGCTCAATGTTGCTCTTTTGAGGATCTTCCGTATTCGACGGCAGTGCTCCCGATGGCCTGGCGGTTAGCTGGGTTGCAAGTTGACCCATCTGTGTTTCCAAATTTTGGATGGAGGCTTGAGTGCTTTTCATATATTGCGCCAAGATATTTGCGAGATCTCCACCTTGAGGTTGAGCTTGAGGCAGATTTTGGAATCCGGGAGCTGGCCGTGAATAATTAGGCGATTGACCTTGAGGTGGTGCTTGCCGTTGTCCTTGCTGATTTCCTTCCCATCCAAAGTTAGCGTGATCTTTCCATTCCGAATTATAATTGTTGGAGTACGGGTTCCTCTGTTGTCGGTTGGTGTCATTCACGTAATTCAGAGACTCCGTTTCTTCTAAGCACTGGTTGGAACCTTGCACCGCATGGAGTTGTTGAGTCTGCAAAGTTGCTACTTGCTTTGATAGCTTTTCTAACTTGGCAGTGATTGCGGTGACCCCGTCTAACTCCAAAATTCCTCCCTTCTTAACTGCTCCATGTATTTATTTCTAGCGATTCGCTCGCGGGCGATCCGATGCCCACATGTATTTATTTCTAGCGATCCGCTCCAAAAGTTCGTATGCTTCGTCATAGGTCAAACTCATGAACATTCCTCCAGCTGCAAAGTCGAGAACAATCCTCGAGTTATCTTGCAATCCATCGTAGAATATTTGCAGCTGGCGCCACTCTTGAAGTCCGTGGTTTGGGCATCTCCGGCTTCTTGTTTGAAATTTTGTATTTCTCTCTGGATTCTTTCAGTTTTTGTTGGGGAGTTATATGTGTTCATGAAGAGTTGTGCAAGCTGGGGCCAAGATGAGATGGAGTGCGGTGAACGAGTTTGTAACCACTCTCGGGCTTCTCCTTGTAAAGAGTGCTTGAATAGGCGGAGGTGTAGTGCTTCAGGAGATACGCCGTTCATCTTATGCGAATCACACGTTTCGAGAAAATTGACCTAGTGGAGATGCGGATCTTCATGAGCTAATCCACTGAACAATCTATTGTTTTGGAGCATAGTAAGGAGTCCAGCTCGAATTTCGAAATTGTTGGCTTCAATGGGGGGCTGCTGGATGCTTGATTGAAACACATTGATTGTCGGAACGGTGCACTCATGCAAGGATCTTTGACGAGGTGGTGGATTAATGAGGTGGTTTTGCTCTTGCTCGTTGATGATATTTCCTGCCGCATTTAGTACTCGTCCTTGGTCATCTCCCATGCGATTAATCTCTTCTTCCATTGTTGCGGGAACGTTTTGAGCTAACCGTTGATTTCTTCTAGCGTGTCTAAACGTTCGCTCAATTTCGGGATCAAGAGGTAGCAAGTTCGTGTCCTGTCCTCTTCGCATAAAAAGTACCTAAAAAAAATAATAAAAATAAAATAAGGAAATAAATAAAACAGCTAAAGTAAGAAAAATTTCTTATATTTAATATTAGGATAAATAGATAATTCAGCCGTATTCCCCGTCAACAGCGCCAAAAACTTGTTGGGGGCTAAATACCTAACACGCAAGTGCACGTATCGCAAACAAGTAGTAAAAGTGGACTCGTGAGAGTCGGATGTCCATCCCACAGGGATGCACATGAGATCTTTGAATAAACGATCAAAGGTAAAATATGTTTATCTTTGCAAGATTGGAAGTCAATATGATTGGGTCCAACATTCGTAATTTTGAATTAGGAATGAGAATAAGAAAAGGAAAAGAATAGGCGAACATTGTAGTGGACTTTCTAAATCAGGAAGTTTCCAGATTTAGAAAGTGCACTGAACTAGGGTTTCCACTTTTGGAAAGTTGGAAATTGAGAGTTGGCACTCGTAATGACGAGGACTTTATAATGAATCCAAAAATGTAATTGTTGCAATTTTTCGGTCATTGAATTGAGAGAGACGAGCAAGTAAAAGTACTAACGAACTTAAGTTGTTGGGCCCGGTCCAACTTAAGCCCGCTAGGGTTTTATGCAAGACACTATAAATACAAGATTTATAGGTCTTACACACACACAACACAAAACCCTAACCCTAGCCGCTCACACTCTCTCTCACTCGGCCCTCTCTCCTCGGCCACCGCGCCGCCGTCGCCGGAAAGTTGCCGGAATCGACCATCCGTTGGCCGATCCTTTTGGTATTTCTTTCCTTCTTTCTGTTCTTCCGTTTTTCTAACTATTATGTGCCTAGTGCCATGTATTTAGTAGATCGAAGTATACGAGGTGAAATCCAAGAGGAGGAAGATCGAAGAATCAAAGATGCGAGAAGGCAATTCTGAAAAACTGCTCTCGGATTTTCTGCGCTGTCCAGCGAAAAAATTTGCTATAAATCAACCGGTGATCGGATGGACGTGAAATTTTGATAGCAGCTTCACGAATCACAAATCTACAATCTTCTAGAAGGAATTGTTCATCCAGGAAATAAGCATGGAGATATTGAAGTCGGAGAAAGGCTGTAATTTCAGATCAGCAAACAGGTTGGATCAATAGGAGTGGGAAGAGCAGCTAGCCATCTTCTCGAGTCTTCGTTTGATTCATGCTTCAAGGAAAGTGCATGAATCACACGCGCCGCCGTAGCTCAGATTATCGCCGTCGCTGCATCGCCGTTGCTGCCCCGGATTGCACGGATTGGTTTCCGTAGCAATCTAGCCTTGCTTAGTGCTCCTACCTCACGCTTCAAGAGGTAAACTCACAAATTCATTATTCTTGATTCGTTTACGTTTAAATAAAATGTTCATGTTCGTTCTTGTATGTTTTTATGTCATTACATGAAATCGTTTTATTTGTTGCGAGCATGTTATTTGATTCAAACGCGAGCATGCTAATTGATTTAAATTCGGTTGAATAATTAAGCATGTATGTTGTTTTTAGTTTCCCTGGAAGCGCAAAGGTACACAATTAATTGATTTCAATTATGGGGCATGTGTTTATGTGTTTTAAATTGTTTAAATCACATAAAATTTTTGTTTTCCGCTGCGTACACGTGCCTGTTACCCAACATTGGTATCAGAGCTCGTTGCGCAATTAATTGCGTTCGTTTTAATATGCTATGATTTTATGCATGTTCGATTTATTAAAGTAGTGATTGTTGTATTCTGTAATTGGGAGTTTTCGTAAGTTTAAAATATTTTTGAAATATTGTTTAGGATTTTTCCAGCTTTAAAATTGTTCAAAATTGGAAAATCGGATCTGAAATTAGTTTAAAATTGTCGGTTTTTTTAATTTGTTCGGATCAAACCGGTCGAACCGGCCGGTTCGATGGTTGCGCACGATCCAATTGACCGAATCGAAGTGGATTCGGGTAGACACGGCCACAGGGCGGTTCGGGCAGGTTTCGGGCCGGTTCAAACCGGTTCACGGTTCACATTTTCCGGAACTGGAACCGGCTCGTAGTACGGGCGGTTCAGCGGGCCTGGTCGACCCGGCGGTTCGGGCCGGTTCCGGGTCGGCCTGGATATTTTGAATTTTTTTTTTTTTTTTGAAATATTTTATGAATAAGTAAATTAAAAGAAGTACTTTTAAATAGAAAAAGGAAAAGGGAATAAATGAAAAGACTTGAACTTAATTTTAAATTCAAAATTTTAAAGATTTCGAATTTAAAATGATTTTTTGAAATGTTTTATTAATAAGTAAATTAAAAGAAGTGCTTTTAAATAGAAAAAGGAAAAGGAAATAAATGAAAAGACTTGAACTTAATTTTAAATTCAAAATTTTAAACATTTCGAATTTTAAATGATTTTTTGAAATATTTTACGAATAAGTAAATTAAAAGAAGTACTTTTAACTTGAAAAAGGAAAAGGAAATAAATGAAAAGACTAGAACTTAATTTTAAATTCAAAATTTTAAATATTTTGAATTTAAAATGAAGTTGCCTACGTATCCATTACGGAATCAAAGTCCACGTAGTTCTCTTACCTTCACTTACCTCCCTAGTCGTCGATAGACAGAGTGTGTAGAGTAGAAGCACGACTTGCAGAAGTTGAAGTCCCACTTTCGATGTAAGCTTCATCGCAATCGTCATCATCATCAACAGCGACGTGGTCGTCTTTGTGTCGGAAATTGCTTTTTCCCCAATTATCCAAACAAACTTGTGCTTCTAAATTTTCGAGGCGGAGATTGCTTCTTCTTTGATCCAATATATGGCCCGCGATACTAAATGCAGCTTCGACTGCAACTGTGGATACGGGGCAAGCGAGAACATCTTTTGCAATCTTCGACATAATTGGGAACGCTGAACTCTTTGACTTCCACCAATCTAATATATCAAACATGGAAAAGGCACTTGGATCTTCATCATGAGGAAAATCAAAACGAATGGTTAGATATTGGTCAAGTTCCAATCGTCGATTGGAACTTGAACCCGTGGACCTCGGGCGCTTTAAGCGCTCAAACACCAATCGTTGACCTGTCGTCATATTGGAAGTATCCGTAGACTCTCGTTATTGTAAATTTTGAGTTCCACTCATTTCACTAACATATTCATCAAACATTGCATGCAAAGTACTAGTAGCTTGAAGTATAATAAGATCCACATTAGGTTTAACAGGAGGAGGAGGAGCGTTAGGATCAATATTAACGATAACATCATTTTCCGGAAACAAATGATTGTAAAACACCTTTAACAACTCAGTTAATAATTCAATCCTAAATCTAGGATCCAAAATGCAACCAACCAAATATATCTCATCAATTTTCTCATAATATTTCAACCATTTCTTTTTCATTTCAACCATACAATTTTTTAAAATATCTTTTTTTTCAGCGGTCGCAAAACCCTCGGCAATATTGCACAAATAGTAAATAACCAAATGACATGTTGGATATGAGGAACCAGATAAGACATTAGTAGCTTTTGAGAAAATTTCCAAAATACTACATATTTCAAAGCATGTGTCCCATTAATTGTTTAAAACAAATAATCCAGTAGCAGCCACTTGTGTGCTAAAAAAGTTGCATAACAAATTTCGATATTCATAAGTTTGGCTTAACAATTTATAGGTTGAGTTCCAACGGGTACTAACATCTCGTGAAAACGCAATAGGATGTTTGCCATTTTCCTTACAAAATCTATTCCATCGTTTCACAATAGATGCGTGTTGCCATATATAAGAAACTAGAGCTCTAATATGATAAATATGATTTTGTAACATTGTTAAACCATCTTGCACACATAGATTCAAAACATGACAAATGCATCTAACATGGAAAAACCTTCCCCCTAAAATTGGCATGCATTTCTTTCAGAGTACGGGGATACTAGCCGTATTGGCACTTGCATTATCAAATGAAACCGAAAAAACTCTTCTAGTAAGCAAATAATCATCTAAAACTTGTGAAAGCGTCATTGCAATTTGTGCAGCAGTATGACCAGTGTTCATAACCGGAAAAGCAATAATTTTGTTCTCAAGTTTCCATGCACTATTAATCCAATGAAAAATAACACCCATGAAATCATTACGACGCCAATGATCACTCCAAATATCAGAACAAATAGACACTTTATTATTCATGGACAACAATTGTTCCCTTAAAATATTTTTTTCTCTTTCAAAAATACTTCTAGTGGTGCGTGTAGTGGTTGATCTAGGTTGACGAGTGCAATAGGACCATACATCCTTTTAAATTCATTCATTATGCAATCATTATCGGCAAAACCAAATGAAAGGTGACCCATAGCAATAACCATAGCCCACCCTTCTTTTTCTTTTTGTTTCGAATATTTAAATAAAGAAAAATCGTTACCTCCCTGTGAAGATCCGGTTTGCAATTGAGTTTGACTTTTGTCGATGCCTAGAGCTTGGGGATGATTATTCCTCAAGTGCCGCCAATAAGATCCATACCCATCTCCTTTTTTGAAGGCGTAGTTTGCCTACACAAATTAAAAAAGAAATATAAAATTAGCTTACGGATATAAAAACTAGAAAAATAATTTTTTTTTGATACTAATGGACTTACCTTGCAATAATTGCATTGAGCTCGACAAGTTCCGTCCGCCTTCTCAATTTTTTTATAATGCAACCTCCAAATGTCGGATTTAGAAACATCATCACCGGTCCCTTCGGTGGTTGATGATTGAGATGGATTTCCTTTTCCGCTACGACGTGAACTTGAAGACATTTTTTCACTAAAAATAAAAACAATTTTTTGTTTTTTTTTTTCCAACAATTGAAGAGAAATTCGGAAATGCAATACAATTTTTTTTTATTCTATTTTTGCTAACAATTGAAGAGAAATTCGAAAATGCAAAAGAATTTTTTTCTTTTTTTTTTTTGACTAAGAACCGAAGAGAAATTCTAGAATGCAAAAACTAAAGAGAAAATTGACTTACTAACTTTGTATTGAAGGAGTAGAGAGAATTGTGAG